AAGCACCCACTTCTGTTTTCAACTTCTTGCCGTGCACACTCATGTTCACCGGTGGTCACCTCATTTTCCACGGAATAGGGATCAACATTCTCAAACGTTACGGCTGAGTCCAGCAGTACGTTATTCATGATTATTCGTTATTCAGTACGTTATTCAAGTAATTCATGATTGTGGGGTTTCAATTGCTCCTGATTACTGTGAACACTCTTAGCCTTACGACAGCCGATTGCTATGTCACCGGGCTCTTTGCAACGGTGGCAAACGACGGCCTTTCTAGCCTTATACATCTCCTGTTTATAGGGATGTTCTGAGCGGCTCACTGTAGACATGAACCTGGTAGGACTGCCTTTGTTTTTCTTGACAGAGGATACTATTTCGTCAGTAGGATTACTTGACGCCTGATAATTTGCTAAAGCCAATTGTCGTTTCTCATTTATACTGTCCTCTTCAGCCCATTTTTTGTTATTTTCAACCTCTTCCCAGTACTCCTCCATTTAGTCATCCTCCGCCCCGCATTCCTGTATTGCCTTAATCAGCTGCGACCCTCTCTTTCATCTCTCCCAACCTTAATTTGCAGCTCTTCACACAGCATTAAGAGATCTGGTCACACAGTCGGAAGAGAGCTTCCTTACCAACTGCATGGCCTTTACAAGTGAGGACTTTCTACTCTCCGTGACGTTAGGTAGCAAAACAAGCGAAGCCTAGACGCACGGTAATACTACTACCAATTTTAGAACATGAAAGCCAAAATTTTCGTCAGCAGCTGTGACGTGTGGTAGCGCCACAACAAAGCCTATAGGAACACAAGATTACACATAAATTTTGAAAACTTCAAAAGCTAAAACCTGGCAAAGCTAAAAAAAAGTCAAGCACTCACCATATCGTTGAGGGTTTAGTCAAGCATGGGTTATCCCGTCGCTTCCAACCCATTGATGTGTTCCAATCGTCAGTGGCAACCCACCGCTGCCATGCATTTGATGTAACCGGTGTTTCCCAGAGGACCGGAGCCATCCAGATTCTCGGGATATGTCGAGGCGAGGAGCCCGGAGCTGTTATAGTAACTTTTCATTACAATATATACACGTAGCGTGTTACATGATGGTAGCGTGTTATTTTACATGAGGTAGCGTGTTACATGATGTTACATTATAGAAGCTCTCGATGGAAGCATGATGGGAGCTTTTTGAAGCTTGTGAGAGCTTGTGAGGAGCGCCTCGGCGCTCGCATTTTATGTCCTGGCCTTCCCAGGATTCCTTGCAAGAAAAAAAAAACAATGGAAGCCAGGACAGTCTAATGAATTTGGTCATCTTCCCCTCCACCCCCGAAAGGGGAAGGTGAAACGCCGCCTTCTTCACAACCCACGAAAGGGGGAAGAGGTACGCCCAGATCAGCCCATGGCGATGGAGAAAACAGTGCACACCGCGCGCGACGCAGCACAGCACGAAAATGTTGAGTCTTACGTGGAAGTCAGTTTCGTAGTCTGTTGCAGTGATGGGTATGCGGCGCCAGGCAGGCCAAAAATCGTGAAAACAGCGGCATCAAGGTGCCACGGAGATTGCGGGGAAGGCATTTGACGGCAGTTGTCAGACGCTGGGCCCTTTGCCCGGGGCATTTTGACGACAAAGCAAGCTGCCTCGACGGCCAACAACTCTTCCTAATCCATCAATCGGTGAGGTGTGTTCAAAGGGCTTTGCTAGGGACGCCGACAACGTAAGATAATTAGACGAACGGCTTGCGTGTTGTCGCCGCTCTTCGTGGATCTCTGGAACCACTGACCCGGAAGAAATCAGGGTAGGCTCAGCCGCAGTGTCTCATGCGTCAAAGCGGCGCCAAGCCCGACAGGGCGATCATAACACCGCTAACACGGTCAACCTTGAAAGGAGATATATGTTAGCACGTGACGCGCTTTGAGAAGTAGTCGCATAGTTCTTTTATTTTCGCCATGCCGTACGCGCCAGCCCAAAAAAGAAGAAAGCGACGTCCAATATCACTGAAGTGTGCCGCAATACGTTCTATTGCGGAGAAAAGATGGCAACGTTTCATTGTGGCACTTCCCGAATGATGCAGACTATGCGCGATGAAGAGCAGCGCAAATCAGAAACTTTGACATTGGCATTGATATGTGTGGTTTAAGGTACGAAAACCACCATAAGATTATGAGTGACACCATAGTGGAGGGCGTCTAAAATTTTGACCACCTGGTCTTCATTAACGTGCACACAAATCCGAGCACACGGGCCTGCAGCAGTTTCGCCTCCATCAAAAATGCAGCCGCCGCAGCCGGGTATCAAAACGGCGACATGCGGGTCAGCAGCCGAGTGCCTTAGCCAGTAGACCAGCGCGGCGGGGCGAGAGCGAAGGCGACGGACACTACGGAAGTTTGTTGTAACTGATTCGCTCATGAGAACGTGTTTCTTCTTGGTGAGTACATCACTATTTAGAATATGTGCGTTTTTGTCAATACTCGCGCTTCTTTATGCACGCAGCGAAGTTTCGTGTATGTAAGGAAGCGTTATCGGAAATTTGTTGCGTTACGTGTGTGACTCAATTTGTCGCATATCCTTGTTTTCTGTGCAAATGGTAGTGTTACACTATTCTAAAAAAATTGGGCTGCTGTATTCCTGCGCCCTGTATATTTTTTTTATTTTGAATGTGCGTATATACACACCAGTGATACGCGCATGGAAAGGTCGTACGTGCGTATCGTGTGTGTGTATATGTTCGTGCATATATATATATATATATATATATATATATATATATATATATATATATATATATATATATATATATATATATATATATATATATATATATATATACATATTGCCACATTCTTTCAACAAGTCTTGTTATCGCACGTGACACTGTAATTTTTAGCGGAACTTCGCACCTTCGGCGTTCGAGCTTTCAGGAATGTAGTAGATTATTTTGTCAAGTTTACACCCACTACGCGAGCATCACAAAATATTCTAGAACCTACGTGACCTCTAGCCATAACGCTGACAAATTTGTCAGCACATGGTTAAATGCCGACGCGCTTAACCGCTGGTGAGTTGAAGGACAGTCAACGCTCTGTTCACCGCTAATATAGTCAGTGTTTATCGCTGTATTGTGACCTGCCGTTCACCGGCCACAACTTCAGTCAAATGAACAGTTTCATCTTTGACCTACAGTCAGCTTTCTTCGTCGACGTCATGACCAGGTGACAATGCAATGCCTGTGCATTCGTAGCGTGCATAATGTGCTTGCATATCACTGTTTTGAATGTCAACTACGGCCAACACGAACAAGCTAATGTTCAGAAACACACAACCTTAGTTATTAGAAACTTCATAACATGATAGAAAACAAAAAGAGAGGAGCACTTCTATACAATCATAATCACGATTTGCCTTATGATACAATGGTCTACACAAAGCTCTGTTTGATAATCAAACAATGGCATGTGTATTTACCTTTTGATGGGACGACGCATCTCAATGGTTACACGCAATCGCCAGCACTACTTCCAGCGTTTTCACCTTGGAAACTGTTATGGTCTTGCGTGTACCCCTGTATCAATGTAGCGCAAAAGCGTTAGAACCTTCCGAAGAGGCGCGATACACATTAGCAGTTGCCGTCTTCCACTTCGGGCTTGCTAGACAGGTTCTTCAGCTTGAAGTAATTCTGATGGGGTTTGCCGAGGAGGCTCGATATTTGCCCGCACGGCACCACTACTTCGGTTGTTTGGTGCTACATTATGCAAGCGTGTCACCAATCATGTCCTGACGTCATCGCCATCGCCGAACACATAAAAACGAGACACTCAAAATAAACCTTTCTTGTTCTTGCTTGGTTACTGCGCCGTTCACTCGCGACGTAACAGTGGCGACGAGGCACGAATCGACGCGGTGGGAGGAGGCTTTGAAGCGCGGCTGCTCAAACAGGCAGCGATGGCGCCGGGACAGGCGCCTGCATTCACGGAAGAAGAAGGAGGCTGGTCCGCCTATAAGGTACGCTTGGAAGCATACTTTCAAGCACAGGAAATCACAGACGAGGCAAAACAACGAGCCCTGCTGGTGGCGGCTCTGTCCAATGGCGCCGTCAAAGTACTTCAGGGACGATGCCGGCCCAAAAGCGTGAACGACCTGCTTACAGCGATGTCATCAAGCATCTGCTGAGCCACTACGAGCCACAGGTCAACGAAACAGCAGCCAGCTACCGATTTTTCACGCGCACACACGCAGAAGGTGAGCGAGTGCGGGATTTTGTAGCCGCTCTTCGCGGCATGGCCGAAGACTGCAATTTCAGCGACATGTTGCACCGCATGCTGCGGGACCGCATTGTATGTGGTGTTCGAGACGATGACGTAAGACGTCTGTTGTTGACCCACGGTTCCCTGACTTTGAAGGAAGCAGAAGACTTCGCAATGGCTGCTGAGGCCGCCGCGGAAAACGCGCCGCACATGCAGCCACTGCCCTACCCCGTAGCCTACACAACGAATTTTGTCCGGCCGGGCCTCTCACGTTCGAAGTCGAAGAAAGCCAGTGGGCTATCTCGCGATGAACATCGGCCTTGCACCCGCTGTGGTGCATCCTCGCACCAAGCGGATGATTGTCGTCATTTCCGAACAGTGTGCCATCGATGCCGGAAACCGGCCACTTGGCACGAGTGTGTAGAGCGTCGGACGAAGACACTAATCGGAGGCAACAAGCGAACGCCCTTTCGCAAGACCCACAAGAGAGTTCGGAGGACTGTGAAGCTTTATACACGCTGACTGCGCATCAAGTGACGGACAGCGCGCACGTAAAGCCTATTTTGCGCCAGATAAGTCGGAACGGAGTACCACCCACGATGTTGGTAGACACGGGTTCACCTGTGAGTGTTATTCCGCGGTCGGTGTTCGAGCGACACCGAGGCAAATGGCCACGTTTGCAAGCCACAACAATGAAGCTGTCATGTTTTAGTGTTTGAAGGGCCCACTTCCTATCAACGCAAAATTGCAACTCAATGCGACCATGAGTGGCGCGACCATTCAGGCCGAACTTTTTGTCATCGACTGTCCGGGACCGATGCTTTGCGGCCGTGACACTATCCGCAGCTTCAATACAGCAGGCGTGCCGGTACTCACTGAAAACGAGGTGGCGTGTGTGCAGGCGGAAAATGCGGACAGAATGGTAGAAACCATGCTTTCAAAGTACCATGATGTCTTTGCTCTAGGGTTGGGTTTGCTCCGAGGGCCACCGGTACACCTGACCATCAAAGAAGGCGCAAGACCCCGGTTTTGTAAGGCACGGACGGTGCCGTATGCGCTCAAACAAATGGTATTAGCAGAGTTAGATCGGCTGGTAAACGAAGGGGTGTTATCACCGGTAACATCGGCCGAATGGGCCACACCCGTGGTGCCCGTAGTCAAGAAGGATGGACAGGTGCGATTATGCGGCGACTTCCGGCTCACGGTGAACGCCGCTACCATAATGGAGCAATATCCGCTGCCGCGGGTTGCCGATATCTTTGTGAACCTTAACGGCGGAAAAGCTTTCAGCACATTGGACTTGAGAAACGCCTATAAACAGCTGCCCCTTGACGAGGTCTCGAAGAGGCTAGTCGTTTTTAACACGCACAAGGGTCTCAACTGTTTCAACAGGCTGCCGTTCGGAGTGTCGTCAGCGCGCATGGAGGCCGTGCTCAGCGGGATCCCCGCCGTGCAGGTATATCTGGACGACATAATTGTATCGGAAAAGGCAAACGACTGCAGGATCCTGGAGCAAGTGCTACAGCGCCTGAGGGAACACGGCCTGCGACTACGACGGGAGAAATGCAAGTTCAGGCAAGAGCAAGTCACCTTTCTCGGACACTGCATCGACAGACACGGCCTACACCCCAAAAGCGACAACATCACGGCACTGCTCGACGCCCCCCAGCCCACTTCGGTAAGAGAACTGAAAGCTTTTTTAGGTCTGTTAAATTACTACGGCAAGTTTTTGTCCAGTGTGTTGACCTTACTAGCGCCCTTATACGCATTGTTGGTAAAGGGCGTAAATGGGTCTGGGGCAGACAACAGCAGAATGCTTTCGAGGCAGATAAACAAGCAGTGAAGAACGCAAAACTTTTGGTGCATTTTGACCCAAGCAAACCCATTCGCCTGAGTGCGACGCGTCAGCAGTAGGCCTGGGAGCAGGGTTGTCGCATCGAGTCGGAGGAATTGACTACCCTATCGGATTCAGGTCACGAACATTAACAAAAGCCGAGAAAAATTATTCCCAGTTGGAAAAGGAGGCCCTCGCCCTCGTATTTGGCGTGACCAGGTTCAGAGACTATCTGTATGGGACCCACTTCAAACTAGTAACCGACCAAAAACCATTAACCGGACTGTTCAGTCCAGACAAGGGAACTCCGCCGATGGCCGCTGACCGCATTCAGCGTTGGGCCCTGCTGTTGGGTGGATATCGGTACAGCCTAACCTATCGTAAAGGATCTGAAAACGGAAACGCAGATGCCTTCAGCCGACTCCCTGTTCCTCGGGGGCAGCGCGATAACGCAAAAGACGACGCTCCCGAGTATGTATTATACGCTGAAGCTGTGAACGCGGCACCCATCAGTGCCAAAGAGTTGGCGGTTCTAACCATCCGTGATGCTATGTTACAGCAGGTGCGAAAGTGGATCCTGCAGGGCTGGCCGCAGTACCTGACAGAGTCCGAGGAGCTTTTCCGGCCGTTCTTCCAGAAAAAGGATGAGCTGACGGTGAATCAGGACCTCATTTATAGGGGACATAGAATAGTAGTGCCATCAGCGGCTGCTGGGAGTCTTTTGAGGCTCCTACATAAAACACATCCAGGGATGGCGGCAATGAAAAAGCTTGATCGAACCATTTTTTGGTATCCAGGGCTGGATGCCGACATCGAAAGGATGGTACGCGAATGTGAGAGGTGTGCTCAAACCAGTGCAATGCCTCCAGTGCAAGGTCTCCAGTGCAAGGTTCCGGCGCCATGGCCAGAAACGGGCCGGAAATGGTCTCGAGTGCACATCGACTATGCAGGCCCCGTCGAAGGACACATGCTACTGGTGGTCGTAGATGCTGAAACAAAGTGGCTGGAGGCCATATTGAGGCGGAGTACGACATCAGAAGCCACCGTGGAAGCGTTGAGGCCCATATTTGCCAGGTTCGGACTGCCACATACACTTGTTTCAGATAATGGGCCACAGTTCGTCTCAGCTGAGTTTCAGAAGTTCGTAAGAATGAACGGGATCAACCACGTGACGATGGCGCCTTACTACCCGTGGTCAAATGGCCTGGCGGAACGCGCGGTTCGCACGATCAAGGAAGGCCTTCGAAAAAGCCAAGGGGGTGGCACATTCATTAAACGTCTCAGTCAGTTTTTATGCCGATACCGACGGGCACCGGTAAAGGCTGGGAAGTCTCCGTCCGAACTACTGCTGGGTTATCAGCTACGGACCAGACTAGACTGTTGCCTCCCGAGTGCAGGCGGGGAACCGCGTCTTGAAGAGCGCTCCTCCACCATGCCGTTCTGTGCAAGACAGCCGGTGTTTCTGAGAAGTTTCCTCAGCCGGCCAAAATGGTTGCCGGGAGTGGTCACCAGTACCCAAGGGGCTCGGATGGTGACTGTGTCTACGCCGGACGGCGAGCAACGTCGTCATGCGAACCAACTGCGGCTGCGCACTCCGAAGGACTCGAACACGACGCAGCCAGGGGGCGCTACAACATCCACCACCACCGCTAACGAAACCTCGCCGATGCCAGCCGGCATGGCTGACCCCACGCCGGCGGGGTCACCACCCCCTAGCCAACTTGAGGCACCGCCACCGCTTCGCCGGTCCAACAGGCTACGGCGAGCACCTCAAAGGTTCAACTGGTAAAAGGGGGAGATGTGCTACGTCATGCAAGCGTGTCGCCAATCATGTCTTGACGTCATCGCCATCGCCGAGCACATAAAAACGAGACACGCAAAATAAACCTTCCTTGTTCTTGCTTGATTACTGCGCCGTTCACTCGCGACGTAACATTTCGGGAGTAAAATCCCTTATGCCGCTGAGAACGAGGTGCTCCTCGGCCAGCTACCTTCGCCTTCGACGAAGCAACGCAATCCGACGCCACAATGAAGAAACTTCCGCCACGCCAAACGAAATTGTCGCTTTGACCACTGTTAGGCGCAGACATCTGACATTTTTACCAGTCTTCCAAGCACAAGGAGCGGAATGTGGAGTTGTCAACAGCTGCCGAACCCAAGTAGACACTGTGAAAGTTCTCATGATCACTACACAATAACCATTACTTCGGTGAACATTTCTCCCTCTCGTATTATACTCGTTCCTACGACGAAGTCATGTTGGTTGTTGTTTATATTGTTGGTATCACTTTTAAGATGTTGAAATGGGCTTCACGACTGCGTGTTGTGCATGGGAACTTCATATTGTCGTTAAAGCAATCTGATCAAGTTAGCGAAAACGCCGTCTCACCCATTTTTAAGTCGCCTGCATGACACGTATTACCCCTTGAGTTAGAATATTAAAGCAAAAGCATAAAAATTGCACCTTTTGAATATTTAGCATTGCAGTAAACACAATTCATTTCATTTATTTTACCTTAGGAAACCCTAAATGGGTGTTACATAAGGGGTGGGGTATACAATATAAACAGGAAAAAAACTACAGAGACTCTTCACACAAAAGTTCTTGTTAATGCGTCCATGAAGGCAGTTGAGAGAGAGAGAGATAAAGATGCAAGAAAAGGCAGGGAGGTTAACCAGACACACATCTGGTTCGCTACCCTGCACTGGGGAAGGGATGAAGGAGAGAAAAGAGGTTGTAGAGAGATAAGAAGGTACACACAATCATGAGCAAACCTGGGGGAGCACAGTATACAGGCGGTTGCTCAGGTTTGTTGAATTTAAGTAAAATAGGAGTGCTGAAGTCGCTTTCTGCGCAACTGAGGCAGATCCCCAAGGTCCTAGAATCTTCTGCACACAAAATGGCCTGGAGTCAAGTTGATTCAAAACCATCTGGAGCTGGCATCGCTGTGTGTCGTAGCAAGCGCAGCTGCACAGGACGTGTTCAATGGTCTCTTCAGCTCCGCAGTAGTCGCCATACCAATGCGAGAGGTGTCTGCGATACCAATGCGAAAGGAGTCCACCTTTTGAATGCAACACCCAACCAAAGGCGGCATAACAGTGTCGCATCGGAGCGGGAAAGTTGTGATGGTAGCTATATCTTGAGTGAAGGATCCAGTTCATATAATTGACATCTTTGGAAGCTGGTAGACGACCAGAACGTGCGTGTAAGATCTCGAGCCAGCAGGTAAAGTTGTCTTGCTGCATCATTCCTTGATAGAGGAATCGGGACCACACGGGAGCATTCATGGGCTGAGCGGGCTGCATCATCGGCTAATTGATTTCCGGCAATACCGATATGTTCAGGAAGCCATTGATGTATAATATCATGCCCTCGTGCTAGAGCTTCATGATGGCAATGTCTTATGTCATGTACCAATTGTTCATGATTCCTCTTACGCATGGCAGACTGCGAACTCTGAAGCGCTGCCTTCGAATCACAGAATATGACCCATTTTCCTGGACGCTCTTGAACGAGATATTGTAAAGCAGCCCTTATAGCAGCAAGCTCTGATGTCATAGATGTAGCGATATGCGACAACCTAAATTTGATTGTCATTGCTGTAGCCGGAATTACAACGGCACCTGATGAGCTGCTTCATGAGACGGACCCATCAGTGTATATCTGCGTTCGGTCCAAGTCCAACTCATGTAATAATAGCAGTGTTGCTTGCTTCAATGCTACTCGGAAGTGATTGCTTTTCTTTCTGATACCCGGAATTTCTAGACGTATTTGTGGCTGATCGAGGCACCACAAAAGACATGCGATTCTCGTAGCTGGCGTATATCCTGAGAAAGTGCTGTTTAGGTGCTTGGCTATGACGTCTGAAAACGTAGCACGTGGTCTTCCGGAGGGTAGAAGGGCAAAGTGGTGGTCGGGGACACGGCTAGCATGTCGAATGTGCGCTCTGAGGCAATCCACAACTCTATATGTCCTGACCAGATGGTCTTTGGCAAGCACGAATGTGGCATAAGTAGAAGCGCATCGGGGCAGTCCTAGGTAGATACGCAGCGCCTGACCCTGCAAACTTCATATCGAATGAATATTGAATTTGGAAGTGTTATTCAGTACCGGCAAGCTGTAGCGCAATAGACGCAGAAATAGGGAGGGCCCTGTACAGCAGTAGCATGGGGGCACAGAAGTTCCCTATGCTTTCCCGCACATGAATTTCATTATATGCACAATGGAGAGCAGTCTCTTCTTCAAGTTGTTAAGGTGGTGATAAAAGCGATGTGGTGAGGAAGGTCGTTGCAGTCTTTCGCTGTGCGATGAAACAATAATGACGGGCAAGTGACAGTGCACGTACTGGGGCGAGCAACGGTATTTGAACGGCCAATGAGCAGTGAAATGCGTGAAGGAGGAGAGACGTAAGGTGCGCAGTGAAGTGGACTGTTGTAGAACTTGTGATATAATGATAAGCTCATGATGCCACGGTGATGAGCCATCGATTCCAATCAAGAGTCTGCTTTTAAAAGATGAAGCACTGATGTTGTATGAGAATGATGAATGCATAAACCTTACTGCGTGACTCTGCACGGACTCTATGACGTCGTTGAGGTAGTTCTGATGAGGATTCTTTATGGGCGACGCATATTAGAGCTTAGGCCTGACCATTGTTTTATATGCGAGTAGTTTTAAGGGTTGAGGAGCACTGCCAAGGTTACGTTTAAGAAATCCTAAAATTTTTCTTGGCAGACGAAGTGATGTTAGTCACATAAGAGCAGCAGTTGAGATCATGTGTAATTGTAATGCCTAGGTACTTGTATGAGTTGACATTGCCGATGGGGGTGTCGTCAAATGTAAAAATAATGTGATTATGATTATGCCTGAAGGAATCATCATCATCATCATCATCAACATCATCAGCCTGACTAAATCCACTGCAGGACAAAGGTCTCTCCCTTGTTCCGCCAGTTAACCTGGTCCTGTGTTTGCTGCTGCCAATTTATACCCGCAAACGTCTTAATCTCATGTGCCCACCTAACCATCTGTCTTCCCATAATCCGCTTGCCTTCTCTGGGAATCCAGTCAGTTACCCTTAATGACCAGCGGTTATCCTGTCTACGCGCTACATGGCCGGCCCATGTCCATTTCCTCTTCTTGGTTTCATCTACGATATCCCTAACCCCCGTTTGTTTCCTAATCCACTCTGCTCTCTTCTTGTCTCTTAAGGTTAATCCTACCATTGTTCTTTGCATTGCTTGCTGCGTCGTTCTCAATTTAAGCTGAACCCTCATTGTAAGTCTCCAGGTTTCTGCTACGTAGCTAAGTACCGGCAAGGTACAGCTGTTATATACCTTTCTCTTGAAGGATAGTGGCAATCTACCTGTCATAATTTGAGAGTGCTTGCGAAATGTGCTCCACCCCATTCTTATTTTTCTAGTTACTTCAATCTCGTGGTTTGGCTCCGCGGTTATTACCTGCCCTAAGTAGACACAGTATTTTACAACTTGAAGTGCTTTATTACCTATCTCGAAGTGCTGCCTTTTTCCGAGGTTGTTCTACATTACTTTCGTTTTCTGCAGATTCATTTTAAGACCCACCTTTCTGCTCTCCTTGTCTAACTCCGCATTCACGAGTTTCAATTCGTCCCCTGAGTAACTCAACAATGCAATGTCCTCGGCAAAGAGCAGGTCACTAAGGTACTCTCCATTAACTCTTATCCCTTACTGTTCTCATTAGATGCTTCCGAAAACCTCCTGTAAGCACGCGGTAAATAGCACTGGTGAGATTGTGTCCCCCTGCCTTACACCCTTCTTGATTGGTATTCTGTTGCTTTCTTTATGAAGCACTATGGTGGCAGTTGATCCCCTGTAGATTTCTTCCAGGATGTTTATATATAATTCATCGACGCCCTGATTCTGCAGTGTCTGCATGACGGCTGATATTTCTACTTAATCAAACGCCTTCTCGTAATCTATGAAGGCTATGTATAGTGATTGGTTATATTCTGAGCATTTCTCTATTACCTGATTGATAGTATGAATGTGGTCGATTGTTGAGTAGCCTGTTCGAAACCCTGCTTGTTGCTTTGGTTGACTGAATTCTAACGTTTTCTTTATTCTGTTAGCAATTACTTTTGTAAATAGCTTATGTAATACAGAGAGCAAGCTGATCGGCCTGTAATTGTTCAAGTCCTTCTCATTTCCTTTCTTATGTATTAAGATGATGTTAGCGTTCTTCCAAGACTCTGGTACTCTTCCCGTCAGGAGGCATCTCGTAAACAGGGTGGCTAGTTTTTCTAACCCAACCTGTCCTCCATCTTTCAGCAGATCTGATGTTACCTGATCTTCACCAGCAGCTTTGCCTCTTTGCATGCTCTCCAAAATTTTTCTGACTTCTTCTGTCATTAATGGTGATTGATTGATTTGATTTGTGGGATTTAACGTCCCAAAACCACCATATGATTATGAGAGACGCCGTAGTGGAGGGCTCCGGAAATGTTGACTACCTGGGGTTCTTTAACGTGCTGTCATTAATGGTGGGGTGTCATCTGGGTTACTGCTAATTTCTATAGTATTAAAGTCGTGGTTATCCCGGCTACTGTACCCGGCTACAGATCTCTGTAAAACTCCTCCGCTATTTTAACTATCCTATCCATAATGACAGTTATTTTGCCTTCTTTGTTCCTTAGTGCATACATTGGCAAGCTTTCCCAGAAAACGAAGAATCTCAATAAAAAGCGTCAAATCGTGAAAGTCTTTAGTATAGCAGACAAAATAGAACTGGGAGAGCTTTCAAAGTTGATTAATAGGTGTAAGGTATGCGATGTGAGAAGGTATAATATGGATAGAACTGAACACGCTCTGAAAAACGGAGGAAGCGTCAAAGCAGTGGAGAGGAAATTTCGGAAAGAATCGACATGGACTTAAATTTATTTGCGTTCAAGACCATCGTCCGCTGGTCACACCAGCTTTTAATGTTAATTTTGTCATTCTGCAATAGGATGTGGTCCTCGTTGTTGATGATAGATCGATAAAAGACGCAATCGTCTGCAAACAATCGAATGCATGTTTGATGATACCTAGGATGGTAGATCGTTTATGTATATTAAGAATAACAAGGGACCTAGAACCGAACCCTGGAGGACGCCTGACGTAACTGATAGAAATTCAGAAGCATATTGTTAATATTGACAGATTGTGATCGGTTTCTTAGACATTTCTTTATGCAACTTAGGACGTTAGGGTGGAAGTTTAAGTGAGAAGGTTTCATAATACCCTTTGATGAGGTACTTTATCAAATACTTTCGCAAAGTCAAAGAAAGTGAGTTTTGTTACAATGTTATGATCAAGGTTTGAGTAGAGGTCGTGAAGAAATGAGGCTAGTTGGAATTCACATAGTAAATTCTTACGGAAGCCATGCTGTGACGGATGTAAAAGGCTATTACTATCAAGAAAATTCATAAGCTGTGAAAATATGACGTGTTCCATGACTTTGCATGGTATTTTAGTGATAGATATAGGGCGATAGTTCAATGGTGATTCACGTTTACCTGATTTGTAGACGGGAACAACCTTGTTAATTTTCCACTCGTCTGGAAGGGTGCCTGAAGATAATGATTGTGAGAACAGCAGAGTTAGGTACATGGAAGATGTGCACTAAGTGTTTTTCAATAACTTCGAAGTGACGTCATCAACACCGGCTGATGAGAATAATTTGTGTTTTTCAATCAGTGCAGACAATCCGACTCGTCAAAAATTTATGTCCGGCATTGAAGGCAGTACAGGAACGGATTAAGCAATGAAAGGCATGGGTGGTTCGATTCTGAAAACAGATTCAAAACCGAAGTTAAACACATTGGCACAGTCTATATCGGATAAAACTTCAGTCTTTAGAAATTGTGAAACCAGAGGATGAATTGGGGTTGATGACCTGCCAGAATTTCCGGGGGTTGCTGTTGAGCATGCGAGGTAGATCTGTATGAAAAAAAAACTGAATATTTTTGTTGTTGATTAGCGATCAAGTAGGCGCATTCATCTTCATAATACTTATCCCAGGAGTTGGGGTTTGGCCGAAGTTTAGGTGAGCGAAACAACCGTTTCCTTTAGTTTTCAAGTTTTCATATTGTATTGTTGAACCATGGCTGGTTGCGATTTGGCCGGAGTACGGCTGCTGGTATATACTGCGTAAAAAGGTTAGACAACTTGTTTTAGAAGAGCGACCAGTTTTCTTTCACCGAGTGATTTTCAAAGCCCGATACAAATGATTCGTAGAATGCTTGTAATTCGCTATTTACTGCAACATAGTCTCCTTTATCTTACAAGCGGATTGTTTTGCGATCGGTATAATAATTGAGAGTGGAAAAAGAAAAAAACTGCATGAACTATTTTATGATCACTTATATCGTGTAGATAGGCAATGGAGAACATGTTGTCGGAAGGGGTGCTTAGTATTCAGTCACGGATATTTGCAGTATTCTGAAACACACGTGTGGGCTCCCTTATCATCTGTGTGAGGTTAAAATGTAGGCGAACGTCAAGGAAATCTTTAAGTCCTGTATTACTGATACCCAAGCTAGTATAATTAATCCAGTCGACTTGTCGGTAGTTTAAGTCCGCAAATTGAAGATGCATGCGTTTGGGAATTTTTACGTTAGAAAGACCAGGACATTGTTGAGCTCTCCAGGGAAGTCAGCATTACTGTTGGGGGGACGGTAGCAAACACCGATTTGTATCAGCTGTGAGGTAGCTCGACAGATAAGCCATAAAATTTCAAGGTTCGTAGTCACGTGGATAGTGGTACACTTAAACTCTCTTTTTTTGCAGCGATTAGAACGCCAACCTCGAGCGCCCCGCCTCTCCCCGCGAAAAACATTGTAGTTTGGCAGTAAATTCATAACTTCTTTGTCATCAATTTCATTGGTTAGCCACATTTCGGTTAAAATAAGTAAGTCACTTTCAGATGTAGTTACGAGGTCAGCTACCTGTTCTAGTTTGGAAGCAATTCTTCTAACATTGGTAAAGATAACTGAGATGTAAAAAGATTTTCGAGGGACAGGCACAGTACATCAGGACAGCTGGTGGTGACTGCGCGTTACGTATATTTTTTTAACCAATTGAGATGTTTCGTCAAACATGTAGCGTTTTGAGCCAATCGATAATGTTTTGTAGTGAGAAGAAAAAGAGACAGACTTGCTTCTCGCAAAAGTGATTAGGTCTCTGCGTGCGTTCTGGCCATTTTCAGAAACACTTTCACCCACACTCTAAGGAGTATTTTTAAACATAGGACAATTCGACAATATGGCTTCCCTGCTTTTAAAGAAAGAAAGTTTAACTAAAATCGGCTGGTTGCGATCGGACAGTATCGATCAAGGCAATGTGCTCGCTCAATTTCTTTTGGCTCTAAGAAAACGTTCAGTTGTTCAGAGCATATTCGAATAACTAGTTCTTCTGATTGTGCAACTGATTCAGATTTGTTTGTGTCATTAATGCCATAAATATCAAATTATTACCCCGAGAGTGGTTCTCCGCTTCACCAAGACGGGTTTCAAGATTACAAACTTGACGAGCTGTTTCAGCCGTGTCGGTTTGCACTGTTCCGAGCAGCTGCCTCAAGGTCTCAATTTGCTGGCAATTGGTTTCCACGTTCGATAGGCGTTTATTGAGTTTGGACAAGCTGGTATTGGTTGCTTGTAGCTGACTTTTAGGCTCTTGCACTTCCGAGATAAGATAAGACCTGCAGAGTCTTGCTATTTTGGAACCATTCTTGTTATTTCATGAGTTTGAACTGAATTTCCTGGTACATGACTAAAATATTTTGGTGCTTATTGTAAGCATACTAGCGCATAGTTACACTCGTCGGTGTTTGGATTGAATACGCTGCTGTTAGCAAAGAGTGATTCGCATATTGATTAGGCAGTTTCATGCTGATGTAATTACTGAAATTCTTGAATTATAAAAGCTATATATACACTTTTACTTTTTTCTGTCCTTTACGTGCGCGACAAGAAATTGATTGATTTGTGGGGTTTAACGTCCCAAAACTACCATATGATTATGAGAGACGCCGTAGTGGAGGGCTCCGGAAATTTCGACCACCAGGGGTTCCTTAACGTGCACCCAAATCTGAGCACACGGGCCTACGACATTTCCGCCTCCATCGAAAATGCAGCTACCGCGGCCGGGATTCGAACCTACGACTTGTGGGTCAGCAGCCGAGTACCTTAACCAATGGACTACCGCGGCGGGGTAGCGCGACAAGAAAATGTACTGAATATTTGCTACCGAGAAGCCCACATCGCATCTCTTCTGAGCGACTAGAGTTACTGCAAACGCTGGTGTACTGAAGGTTGCTGCTGATAGATGCTGGTAATCTTATCTGTACGCTTGCTTTAGCGCATACAAAATATAAACGTGAACCTATATATGTATAACGCGTCATAAGCGAAGTTGAAATTTTTTTAATGGCGTCATCTGTTGTCTATAATACGCAAACGCTATCTGTGTTTTTAAGGTCGCATTTGTGCCTCGCAGCTAACGCAGATGCTGGGAGTGGTGGGTGGTTACATGGGCTTCTGGATGGAGTTGTCCACACTCAAGGTTCTCTGGCGACTTATAATGGTACTTCAGGTAAGCTCTGCATTCCTCACAGCTTGACGTGCGCCCATTATATAAAGAGTGGAGTCAAACGACCAACATGGTTGGCAACATGTGTGGAGGAAATGGCAGCCCAATTAGCAGCTGTCGTCGTTTATCTACGCCTTTTTTGCGCGCAGCGGCACTTTCTTTAAATAAATGACCAGGAAATATTTCAGTTTTTGAACACAATTCCGAAATTCGTGCACAGGGGTTGTGCCAAGCCGATGCTTTGAAAACCGGACTTGTTATCTTCAGCGCTAGAACAGAATCTTTTGAAAGAGTGACTGCTGATAACAAAACAACCTGATTAATCAACTGAAGTCCACTGTTTCCTTTGCCCTAAGCTAAACTCAATGCCTTGAAAAGAGCAGTAAGCGAGTAAAGGTTCACAGATCTTGACTAGCTGCTTTTTATTACGCCATGATGATGTTTCAGGGATTTTTGCACAGTACATGCTATATAACTAATATTATAAAAGTGACTTTAACATCCAATGCCATTCTGTTTCTTAAAGTGAACTTTCAAGGAACAGAAAGATGGTCAGTGTTTCTTTGTTTACAGCAAAAGTGTGTTGTGCCAGCGTCCACTAAAGCTTTAGTGACGTATTTCCATCCCGAATATTACGTTTTTAAAATGTGGCGCTACCGATTTCGACAACAACACATCATACAAACCAAGTTTCTCCGCCAGGAATCGAAATTCTGGTTATGTGCTCGCTACAGGATGCACCCGAGGCTCTACCTACTAAGCTATCACAGCATTCTTCGGCACTTCACAAACGCGCATTGTATCTTTCACACATTTTCTCTCGCATAGTAACCTCTGTATTTATAGAGATAACCATGCGATAAAGCATTTGTTTTATTATGAATGCTGAAATAAAAAATCTGAATCTAAAGAATCTCTATGTGGTGTGCGGGCGACATCTGTTGAAGAGAAGTAATATGGCCCTTGATCTTAGTGCTGATATAAAAGAAGTCGTTCACGACGCAGTTAAAGCGTTGAGTCCAAAATTACACGATAATAACTGCGTCCAGGGTGACTCCCCGTGCAAGCGCGGGGAAACTTTTTTGGGGCTATTGAGATGGTTCAATAGTGACCTACAAGACTGCACGCTGGTACAGAATTTCGTTGGTTAAAGCGTCTCGATAGCAGTAAAAAGACTCTCCACGCTTGCACAGAGAGTCGCCCTTTATGCAGCTATGTTGTTTGCCTTTTGCTGGGTGTTACCTTGTGAAGTTGGAATGGTACAGCTTCCACATGCACAAGAGTGTTCTGCCGAAGACTGCTTCGAGTCCGATTGCACCAACTAATAAATTTGCTGCGATAAATGGTGCGGAAAGGCAACGAAGCCGACGGAAGGATGTCACACCTTGGTCGAGGGAGTCAGAGGGCAGCAGGATGTGATAAACGCTTGCGCGCGTTAGCGGCTCGCGTGATGAACATTTGTCGCCTTCTTGACGCGCAGTGAGGTGGAGTATGCGTGAGCAAAGGCGCAGGATTCCTATCATTCGGGATTGCACATCGTGTAGTTTCTTCTCAAGTCGACGACGCTTTGAAAAAAAAAACACAGCATTGCCAGAAAGGTGGAGCACGGAACGCGATAACAGTGAATTGAAAGGTCACGCGCAGAATTGAAAGCAGATGGAAACGTGCCCCGCGTTGCTCACGCACAAAACGTACTCACACGTACGGGTGCACGCTAATAAGCGTCTAATTTGCTACTTTTCTGTGTCTAGAAAGCGCACGCTTTTCGTAAACGAAGACGCTTTCACGACGCAGAGGTCCCACGTTCAATTCCGCGCGCCAAAGTGTTTTTTTCTGGATTTTTTATTTCTTGCGTTTTTCTATATATAGATACATATATAGATACATAACAGCCACTAATGAATGGAATAAACTGGATCCGAGTATCTCCAGAACTACCGAATTAGCAAAATTTCTAACCCTTGTCGCAAATGAACTTTGTATTATGCAAACGGAATCACCTGGTTGATTTTAATATGGGTGTTCGTGTGAACAATGTACGAGCGAAGTATCATGTCATCATTTTTTTTCTTTAAGCAATTTTTAGTACTGAATCCAGGTGAAGAGAAATCGCATTGTTGATTCTTGAACATGTTTCTGTTTTTCAGTGTGTATAAATTTGCCCTTCCTTGAAATACTTTGCCATATTGTAGGGTAGTTTCTTATTGCTGTGATTTCTTGTTGTGTTTCTTGATGCATATGCCAATATGTCAACCAATGTGTCAGCCAAGTCGCTGCATTTATTTTCTTCTGACAACTTCTCTTTACACTAATGTTTTATGCCTTCTTTGATCTGAAATTGTTAAATGTTCCGATTCTGTTAGTTTCATTCTGTACTTTATCGCGATGTATGTCTTTATTGTGTACCTATTCGAATTGTTATGTTCACGCTCTTCCTGCTAAAATCCCTGATGGGATTGGCAGTATGTCGAAATAAATAAATAAATAAATATACATACACGGTGTATGACATCGACGCCGATGCCGGCAATAAAGTCCAGCCGAAAGTGTCCATATATTTGCTATCGCAATAAAGGTGAAGGAGTATTATCTAGTGCCATTGTTTATTACGTGCTTGTTGATACCATCTTTGCGTGTGATTCACGACACGCTGTGTCGAAGTAACAGTTAAAACTTCAGGTACCACAATGATTAAATCATGGTCATGGGCGTCAGTCATCACCATGAAGCTGTGTCCACTAGGTGTAGACATGGGTGCATCCAGCTCGAACGCTCCTTTAGCTGCCAGACACCAACAGACATTATGCAAACACCCATAATTACTACACAATAACCGCTACTTCTGTGAGTGGATCCCATCTACCAGTGTTGCGGTGTTTCCATTCCGGTTTCTGAATAATTCTGGAATCATTTCGCATTCTCGCGCCCCCAGAAAAGAATGCGGACACTCGGAAAGTTGTAATAAAAATTCAGTTTCACTTTATTATTCAATGAAGATAGAAAATTTTATATTCAGTAGAATGCAGACAAGCGTCTCAAAGTCGAGATACTGCAGCTGGACCCTCAGTTGGTAACAACAAAACAAAAGTGAATTAGGCAGCGCGTCAATATAAAGCAGCGCAAATGAAAAGGATACACTGAACGATTTAGAAAACAAGGAAAAAGCAAAACACCAACAATTCTTTATATATAGGTGCACAAAGGTTATATATATAGACACAGACACACACACACACATATATATATATATATATATATATATATATATATATATATATATATATATATATATATATATATATATATATATATATATATATATATATATATATATATATATATATATGAGATCTAACAGACAGTAATGCCAAGGAATGTACGGAGGAAGTTATTAGAACCAATGGAATGTAAATAAGAAGAAAGAAAAGTGGATGAAAAAATAACCAGCCGTGAGCAGGAATCGAACCTACGACCTTAGAATAACGCGTTCGAAGCTCTAACCACTGAGCTACCACCGCGGCCTTCCCTCAATCCACTTTTTTTGGGTTTATATGTGAATTTAGAAGCAGGAGTGACAGTCAGCGCCATCTATAAGCCAAGCGAAGAGTCTGAAAACACTCTTTTATGCGCATGTTTGGCGTCACGTAGCACGTGAACTTAATGTGAGCGTGCAGCTGATCAATAGTCGCTCGTATACAACCTAAACACACCAAGTCTGCCAGTACAAGACCCTCGTTCAATGAAATAAAGGAAAGAAGTGTATACCTAAGGGCTCGTTTTTCCGTGTTTTAACACAACAATAATGAGATCTAACAGACAGTAATGCCAAGGAATGTACAGGGGAAGTTATTAGAACCAACGAAATGTAAATGAGAACAAAGAAAAGTGGATGAAAAAATAAACAGCTCTGAGCAGGAATCGAACCTACGACCTTCGAATAACGCGTTCGATGCTCTAACTACTGAGATACCACAGCGGCCTTCCATTCATCCACATTTTTGGCTTTATATGTGAATTTAGAAGTAGGAGTGACAGTCAGCGCCATCTATAGGCCAAGCGATGAGTGCGAAAACGCTCTTTTATGCGCATGTTTGGCGTCACGTAGCACGTGAACTTATTATGAGCGGGCAGCTGATCAATAGTCCCTCGTATACAATCTAAACACACCACGTCTGCCAGTACAAGACCCTCGTTCAATGAAAGAAAGGAAAGAAGTGTATACATAAGGGCTCGTTTTTCCGTGTTTTAACACAATAATAATGAGATCTAACAGACATCAATGGCAAGGAATGTACAGGGGAAGTTATTAGAACCAATGGAATGTAAATAGGAAGAAAGAAAAGTGGATGAAAAAATAACCACCCATGAGCAGGAATCGAACCTACGACCTTCGAATAACGCGTTCGATGCTCTAACCACAGAGCTGCCACAGCGGCCTTCCCTGCATCCACTTTTTGGGTTTATAGGTGAATTTAGAGGTAGAAGTGACAGTCAGCGCCATCAATAAGCCGAGCGACGAGTGTGAACACACTCTTTTATGCGCATGTTTGGCGTCACGTAGCACGTGAACTTATCATGGCGGGCAGCTTATCAATAGTCCCTCTTATACAACCTAAACACACCAAGGCTGCCAGTACAAGACCCTCGTTCAATGAAATAAAGGAAAGAAGTGTATATCTAAGGGCTCGTTTTTCCGTATTTTAACACAATAATAATGAGATCTAACAGACAGTAATGCCAAGGAATGTACAGGGGAAGTTATTAGAACCAATGGAATGTAAATAGGAAGAAAGCAAAGTGGATGAAAAAATAAGCACCGTGAGCAGGAATCGAACCTACGACCTTCGAATAACGCGTTCGAAGCTGTAACCACTGAGCTACCACAGCGGCCTTCCCTCCGTCCACACTTTTGCGTTTATATGTGCATTTAGAAGTAGGAGTGGCAGGCAGCGCCATCTATAAGGCAAGCGACAAGTGTGAAAACACTCTTTTATGCGCATGTT